GTGAAAATGTCTACATTTATAGGGCGTTTGCTATTCAACCAGAAGCAGAACATTTTCTGAGACTGGCTCTACACTGCCTTATATCCCAGGATCGGATTCCGGATTATATCCGGCAGTGTGGACTCATATAACCCAGTTCAAAGCAAATAATCTGGGCATAAAAATGCAAGAAGTTATGGGCCCAGGTGCAAGAGGTTATGGGCCCAGCACATTATTATTAATAATATCAATACTAATATATTAATATCAATATTAATATTAATATTAATATCAGTATTAGTATTAATAATAGTAATAATATCGCATAGGGAGATATGAATTGTTAGAGGGCAAATAGCTTTGAAACTTATTAATGTTTATATTATCTTATTTTAGTTGTATTAATAATTATTTATTGTTGTCTATTGTCTACTGCTTGTATTATTTTATGTATCTGTTGATTGTTGTAAGCGGTACTTAGTCCTTATCTATCTATCTATCTATCTATCTATCTATCTATCTATCTATCTATCTATCTATACACACTATAGATAGATAGATAGATAGATATAGATAGTTATAGTCTATCTATCTATCTATCTATCATAGTTATAGTTATAGTTATAGTCTATCTATCTATACACACGATAGATAGATAGATAGATAGATAGATAGATAGATAGATAGATAGCTATATCTATCTATCTATATAGATATAGATATAGATATAGATATAGATATAGATAGATAGATTAGGACTAAGTAGGCCTTACAACAATCAACAGATACATAAAATAATACAAGCAGTAGACAATAGACAACAATATATATAGTTATATATATAGTTATATATATATAGTTATGGTTTTAAACCACTTCATTGGATGTGTTGCAATAGCAGATTCCCAGATTAATTTATTGTTTACACCTTATTTTTTCTGGTTATTTAATGTTTATTTTACTTAAGGGATATTTGTCTTTACTGTTCTAATGTAGCACAAAGCCTATGTAAAATCACATATTTTTGACATCAATATTGAAATCTGAAATATATACAAAAAGTCTCATGGCCGGAATTACTGGGTTTCTGTGAGTTTTCCCCGGGTATGGCGATGTTCCAGAAGCATTCTCTCCTGACGTTTCGCCCACATCTTTGGCAGGCATCCTTAGAGTTGTGAGGTTGTTGGAAACTAGGCAAGTGGGGCTTTACATATCTGTGGAATGTCCAGGCTTCGCAGGCGTGATTGGTGGGGACGAGGGAGAGGGCCTTCTCGGTGGTGGCCCCCCCGACTCTGGAACTCAATTCCCAAGGACATCAGACATGCCCCAACTTTGGCAGTCTTTAGGAGGAACCTGAAAAAGTGGTTGTTCCAGTGTGCCTTCCCAGAATAAGGAAAACTCTCAGCAATATGCCATCAAAATGCACTTTACTTTTGATTTAGGACTGACTGCATTTCCTCATCTCTCTTTGAAAATCCTATCTAAATGCTTGTATGTCACTGTTGATTGTTTAATGCTTATTTTTGTTTATGTGATTTATATGAATTATATTATATTGATTGTTTTATTTGATGTTTTGTTTATTGATGTGTTGTGGGCTTGGGGAGATGGTAGTGGGGGTACAAAGAAAGATGATTATGATTATGATTATGGAACATGGCCATACAGCCTGGAAAACTCACAGGAACTATATTATTATTATTATTATTATTATTATTATTATTATTATTATTATTATTATTATTAGTATTATTATTAGTATTATTATTATTAGTAGCTAATTAGTTGTACCCGCCACACGTTGCTGTGGTACTTCCCTCCCTCTTTCTCTCCTTCTTTCCTTCCTTCCTTCCCTTTTCTTCTTTCCTTCTCTCCTTCCTTCCTTCTCTACCTCCTTCTTTCCCTTTTTCTTTTCCTTCCGCTTTCTCTCCTTCCTTCTCTCTTTCTTTCCCTTTTTCTTTTCCTTCCGCTTTCTCTCCTTCTTTCCTTCTCTACCTCTTTCTTTCTTTCCCTTTTTCTTTTCCTTCCGCTTTCTCTCCTTCTTTCCTTCTCTACCTCTTTTCTTTCCCTTTTTCTTTTCCTTCCGCTTTCTCTCCTTCTTTCCTTCTCTACCTCTTTCCTTCTTTCCCTTTTTCTTTTCCTTCCGCTTTCTCTCCTTTCTTCCATCTCTACCTCTTTCTTTCCCTTTTTCTTTTCCTTCCGCTTTCTCTCCTTCCTTCCTTCTCTCTTTTTTTCCCTTTTTCTTTTCCTTCCGCTTTCTCTCCTTTCTTCCTTCTCTACCTCTTTCTTTCTTTCCTTTTTTCTTTTCCTTCCGCTTTCTCTCCTTTCTTCCTTCTCTACCTCTTTCTTTCTTTCCCTTTTTCTTTTCCTTCCACTTTCTCTCCTTCCTTCCTTCTCTACATCTTCTCTACATCTTTCCCTTTTTCTTTTCCTTCCGCTTTCTCTCCTTTCTTCCTTCTCCACCTCTTTCCTTCCTTCCGTTGCTCTTTTCCTTCTTTCTTTCACTCCCTCTTTCTTTCTTTCTTTTTCTTTCTTTCTTTCCCCCCTTCCCTCCCTCTTCCTTTCCTTTTTTTCTGTATCCTGATTTAGCTTTTTGTCATTTAGATTTTTTGGGTTTTAAGTCCTTTCTGCTGTTTGTTTAGGGGGGTTTATGAGTGATGGTCACTCATTGGCCTGTTAGGGGTATAGTGTCCAAATTTATTGTCAGTTTGTCCAGTAGTTTTTGAGTTATGTTAATCCCACAAACGAACATTACATTTTTATTGATATAGATTTTGTGGTCATACATTGGCAAATCAGCTATTGGCAAATAGGATTTTATTAGGCTCACTAAAACAGATCCCAGCATATTATTATTATTATTATTATTATTATTATTATTATTATTATTATTTTACTGACACAAAACTACAGTATGTCACAGCAAATGAGATCTATATGCTGGATTTCGTATCACAAAATTACAAGTCGAACACTTCCCACTAATAATAATAATAATAATAATAATAATAATAATAATAATAATGTATTTTGTGGCCATACATGGCCATACAGCCTGAAAAACTCACAGCAACCCACCTGTGAGTGGCAAGCTCTAACTATACCTTTACTTTTAAGCTTTTTTATTGTATTTCTATTGGAATTATTATCTCCTGTTTATTAATTGTATGTTTAAATTGATATGTTAATTGTTTAAATTCATATGTTATGTTTATTATTATATGTGTAACACGGCATTGTACGCCACCCTGAGTCCCCCACTGGGGTGAGAAGGGTGGGGTATAAATGTAGTATAATAATAACAATAATAATAATAATAATACATCAGCTCAATTCCGTTTTGTTTTGACTCTGCTTTACAAGTCGGACACTTCCCATTATTATTATTATTATTATTATTATTATTATTATTTTACTGACACAAAAACACACAGTATGTCACAGCAAAAGATCATATGCTGGATTTCGTATCACAAAATCACAAGTCGAACATTATATATATATATATATATATATATATTATAATATATAATATAAATATTATTATTATTATTATTTATTTTGTGGCCATACATGGCCATACAGCCTGAAGATGGCCATACAGTCTGAAAAACTCACAGTATTTTTGTGTTTCCTTTTTCAAAGCATGATCTAACTACACATCAGCTCAATTCCATTGTGTTTTGACTCTGCTTCACAAGTCAAACACATCCCACTTATTATTATTATTATTATTATTATTATTATTATTATTATTTTACTGACACAAAATCACAGTATGTCACAGCAAACGAGGATTTAGTATCACAAACTCACAAGTCGAATACTTGTGTCTTTGTTAGTAGTTTATTATTATTATTATTATTATTATTATTATTATTATTATTTTGTGGCCATACAGTCTGAAGATGGCCATACAGTCTGAAAAAACTCACAGTATTTTTTGTGTTTCCTTTTTTTAAATCAAGTTCTAACTATACATCAGTTCAATTCCGTTGTATTTTGGCTCTGCTTCACAAGTCGAACACTTCCCACTTATTATGATTATGATTATGATTATTATTATTATTATTATTATACTGACACAAAACCACAGTATGTCACAGCAAACGAGAACTATAAGTCGAACATTTCCACTAATAATTATTATTATTATTATATTATATAATTATATTATATATTATAATATATATTATTTAATATTTTAATATAATATATTATTATTATATAATTATTATTATAATATATAATATAAATATTATTATTATTATTTATTTATTTTGTGGCCATACATGGCCATATAGCCTGAAGATGGCCATACAGTCTGAAAAACTCACAGTATTTTTTGTGTTTCCTTTTTGAAACCAAGCTCTAACTACACACCAGCTCAATCCCGTTGTGTTTTGACTCTGCTGTAGTTGTGTTAAACTTTTTCAAACTAATTCCCCAGCCTAAAACCTTTCACATTTTAGCCTAGATCCAGCCTGAATGTCCAAAGGGGGAAAGCATTGTTTTTCTGTCTTTCGTGTATGATGAGGTTTTAGGTGGGATTGGAGACAGGGGCGGCTCATCCATTACGCGGTCGCAGAACACTTTTTTTTTTGCCAGGGGCGCAAAAAAAAAAAAGAAAGCCGAGGCTTCCCCCCCCCCAACTGCTAGGTGACTTTTGGTGCACACGCCGGGGTCTTCAGGCACGCCTTCGGACCCAAAGCGGGCCAGGCAAGGGAGCAAATGCAGCAAGTGTAGTTACTGTAATAATAATCAAAGAGCTTTCTGAACTCCACCAATGATGGAATTGAACCAAATATGGCACACAGAACTCCCAGAAAATATATATCAATGATTGGTGGGGGGGCGCACCAAAATACTGTTTGCTTAGCGTTGAAAATTACCTAGGGCCACCTCTGATTGGAGACTCCTGCTTTCTTGTAGCATTTGGGGAGTTGGGGAGTTGGACGCCTTCCCTCCCTCTTCTCCCCCCCCCTGCCCCCCATGCCCCTTTCTTCCTCCCTTCCTCTTACCGCTTCCCGTCCGTTGACCTGCCCGGCTTTGGCCAGGCGCGACTCGGTCTTGGAGCGCCGCTCCATCTCCTCCATGATGCCCTGGATGTGGCCCCCGGAGATGCCGTGGAAAAGCATGGCGGGCGGGCGGAACGGACACGCGTTGCCTTCGGCTCGGCACCCCACTATTTCCATAGACGGGCCCCAGAGTCTCCGACGCCGGCTTCACAGCATCCGAAGCGGGGAGAAGGGGGGTGAGGCCCGCAGGGGACCCAAAAGAAGGGGAAAGCAAGGGGAAAAGGAGGAAGGAAGGAAGGGAAAAGGGTGAAGGGGGAGTGGGACGGGGACAGAGAGCAGCGGGGCAGGGCGCGGACCGCGGGCCGTCGACGCGGCCGCCGCTTCCTCCTGATTGAGAGAAAGAGAAGAGAGGGAAGGAAGGAGACGGGGCAGACAAACAGGCAAAGGCAAAGGAAAGGAGCAGATGAATCCTGCTAGAGGACGGCCATACAGCCCCGGACAGACAAACAGGCAAAGGCAAAGGAAAGAAGCAGATGAATCCTGCTAGAGGACGGCCATACAGCCCCGGAAACCGCACCACAACACCCCAAAGGCGGTTGACAAAAAGACAACCACTAGAGGGGCTTCTCTTTGCTCTTTTTTCCCCCTTTCTGCCTTAAAAAAAGCCTCTCCCAGCTCTGCCTCTCGGTTTGGGACTGTGGCTCTCCGGCGCTCTGTCCAATTTGTCAGAGGCGAGAGCCAACCCATTTTGGATAATTCAGGAGGAGGAGCTGCCACCCGCCGCTCCCCCTCTCTCCCCTTCCCTCCCCCTCCTCTTCTTCTTATACAGACAACAAAGAGCTGTCAAACTCCTCCAAGGCCCCCTCCTTCCCTCCCCCTCCCCCCCCCCAATGAGTGACAAATCTGCCCGAGGAGGAAGAGGAGGGGGGATCCGAGGAACACCCCCCCCCCAAGAGAGAGGAAGGAAGGAAGGAAAAGGGGGGAAGAGGAGGCCGGGCTCCCTTCTTCGGTCTCTCCCTCCCCGACCCAAGTTCAAGTCGCCCCCCCCCCTTTTCTAAAAAAAATAATTAAAGAAACTCTTTACAATGGGAAAAAGGGGGGAGAAGAGTTGGCTCCTTTGAAGGCAGTTCTCTCCTGATGGGACCAGGAAAGAAGGGAGGGAAAGTGGGGGGAAAGGACGGAAGAAGGAAGGAGAGAAGGTAAAAAAGGGGGAAGAAGGGAGGAGGAAAGAAAGACAGGATGATGGAAAGAGGGAGAAAAAGGAAAGAAGGAAACAAGGGAGAGAGAAAAGAAGAAAGGAAAGAGGTAAAAAGTGGGGGGAAGGACGGAAAGAAGAGGGAAGGAGAGAAGGTAAAGGGGGAAGAAGGGAGGAGGGAAGAAAGACAGGGTGATGGAAAGAGGGAGAAAAAGGAAAGAAGGAAAGAAGGGAGGGAGGTAAAAAGTGGAGGGAAGGACGAAAGGAAGAGGGAAGGAAGAAGGAAAAAGGGGAAGGAGGAGGAAGAAAGAGGATGAGGAGGGAGGGAGAAAAAGGAAAGAAGGAAAGAAAGAAGGGGTAAAAGAAGTAAGGGGTGAAGGAAGATAAAAAAGTGGGAAGGAAGGAGGGAAGGAAGGAAAGAAGGAAGGAACGAAGGAAGGAAAGACGGGAGGGAGGTAAAAGGGGGGAAGAACGGAAGGAAGAGGGAAGGAGAGAAGGTAAAAAAGGGAGAAGAAGGGAGTCGGAAAGAAAGACAGGATGAAGGAGGGAGGGAGAAAAAGGAAAGAAGGAAAGACGGGAGGGATAAAAGAAGGAAGGGGTGAAGGAAGATAAAAAAAGTGGGAAGGAAGGAAAGAAGGAAGGAAGGAACGAAGGAAGGAAAGACGGGAGGGAGGTAAAAAGTCGGGGGAAGGACGGAAGGAAGAGGGAAGGAGAGAAGGTAAAAAGGGGGAGGAAGGGAGGAGGGAAGAAAGACAGGATGAAGGAGGAAAGGAGAAAATGGAAAGGGATAAAAGAAGGAAGGAGTGAAGGAAGATAAAAAGTGGAAAGGAAGGAAGGAAAGACGGGAGGGAGGTAAAAAGTGGGGGAAGAACTGAAGATATGAAAGAAGGAAGGTGAAAAGGGAGTAGAGAAGGAAGATAGGATTAAGGAAAGGATGGAGGAGATGAAAAGGAATGAAGGGGGGAATAAAGGAAAGAAGGAAGAGGTAAAATATAAAAAATGGGAAGGAAGGAAAGACGGGAGGGAGGAAAGAAGGAAGGAAAGAACGAATGAAGGAAAAAGGGAGGAAAGGAGGGAGCGATAACGGTGGGACAGGAGGAAGGTATTTTAAAAAGGAAGGAGGGAAGAAAAAAAGGGGAGGAAAAAGGAGGGAAAGGAGGGAGGGAGGAAGAAAGAGGAAGGAATAAAAGAAAGAAGGGAAGGATAAAGGAATGAAGGGGTGAGTGAAGGTAAAAAGTGGAAAGGAAGGAGGAATGGGATAAGATGGGATGGAGAGAGGAAAGGATGAAAGAAAAAAAGGAGGACAGAAGAATGGGATGAACGAAGGAGGGGTGGAGGAAAGAAGGGAGAGATAAAGAAGGGGAAAAGTGGGACCGAAGGACAGGAGGAAGGTATTAAAAAGGAAGGTTAAAAAGGGGGAGGAAAAAGAAGGGAAGGATGGAAGAAGGAAGAAAGGAAGGGATGAAGAAAGGTAAAAAGTGGGAGAAAGGACGAATGGGAGAAAATTATAAAAGGAGGGTGAGGAGGTAAAAAGATTGAGGAAGGGAGGAAGATAGGATGAAGGAAAAAAGGAAAGGATGAAAGAGAGAGGGAAAAGGAAGGTAAAAAGTGGGAAGGAAAGATGGAAGAAAGGAAGGAAAGAAGGATGAAAGGGAAGATGGATGGAAGGAAGGAAGGAAGGAAGGAAGGAAGGAAGGAAGGAAGGAAGGAAGGAAGGAAGGAAGGGTGAAAGGAAGTCAAAAAGGGAGAGAGGAAGAAAAGAAAGAAGCAAGGGAAGCATGGAGAAAGAAAACTGGTGGAAATTTGACTAGGGACAGTAATTGCCCCCCAGGCTAGACTTTGGACATGCCTGACCTAAACAAGGACAGAAAGAGAAAGAAGGAAGGAGAAGGAAGGAAAGGAAGAAGAAGGAGGAGGAGGGAGAGAAAGAAGGAAGGAACGAAGGAAGGAGAGGGAGGAAAGAGGAGAAAGAAGGGAAGGAGGAAGAAAGGGGAAGGAGGAAAGTAGGTAGGAAAAGCTGTAAGAAAGAATGAAGGGAGGGAGGGAGAAGGGCCGAGGAAGAAGGGACAACGTGAGGGAAACTACTGGTCCCTTGCTGACCGAGAAAAAGGGTTTATATATCTGTGGAACGAGCTGGGTGAGACAAAGGACTCTTGTCTGCTGGAGCTAGGTGTGAATGTTTCAACTGACCACCTCGATTAGCATACAATGGCCTGACTGTGCCTGGGGCAAACTTTTGTTGAGAGGTGATTAGATGTCCTTGTTTGTTTCCTCTCTGTTGTTGTGCTGTTGCAATTTTAGAGGTTTTTTTAAATACTGGGAGCCAGATTTTGTTCATTTTCATGGTTTCTTCCTTTCTTTGTGGACTTTTGGCAGGTGGCTGAGGAGGAAACCGGCTCAAGACGTTCTGGAGTAGCCCATAATAATCCCACCCCATCTTCCCCTTGGAAGGAAAAAGGAAGGGCGAGATAGATGGATGAAATCCTTGAAATTACTGTCTTGAACCCGCCGTTTTCCACCGAGCGGCTCAAGGCAATGGAGTGAAATAAGCCGAGCTGCGCATTCATCAAACAAGAGACGCGGTTGCCTCGTTTCAACAGCAGGGCTGCCTATTTACTGTAAGTAATGCAATTAGGAGACAAGAGATCTTGGGGCGGAAACTGGGGTCGCAGGAAACAGACCCAGGAACCGCAGGAGGGGGGAAGAATCGGTTCCGGCAGAAAGGACCGAATTCGTTCTTGATCTGGCCTCTCTCTCGCCCAGTGCGGCTCATCCTTGGAGACACAGGTCGCTCCGGCAAGGATTGTTAGGGTTTCTCTGCTCTTTCCCAGCTCAAGCTTTCTTGCATTGGCTACTCTGGACAGACTGTGGCAACCTGGCATTGAGGTGAAGGGAAAGGTGGATCCTGGGGGCGGGAGAAACCCATTTGAGCTGAAGGAGCCTTCTCTTCTTCCTCCTTCCCTTCTTCTTTTCCCCCCCCCTTCCCCCTCCTCTTCTCCCCCCCCCCTTGCTTCCTTTCTTCTTTCTTCCTCCTCTCCCTTCTTCCTCTTCTTCCTCTTCTTTCTCCTTCCTTCCTCCTATTTCTCCTCCTTTTCTTCCTCATCCTCATTCAGTCTTCTCCTCCTCTTCTTCTTCCTCCTCTCCTTCCCCTCTTCCTTCTCTTCCCCTCCTTCGTTCACTCCCCTCTTCCTTCTCGTCGTCCTCCCCTCTTCTTTCCTTCTCCTCCTTTTCTTCCTCATCCTCATCTCCATTCCCTCTTCCTCTTCCTCCTCCTCCTCTTCTTCTTCTTCCTCCACCTCCTCCTCCTCCTCCTTCTTTCCCCTCTCTTTTCTTCCCCCTCTTCCTCCCCTTCTCTTCCTCCCCTTTTCCTTCTCGTCGTCCTCCCCTCCTCCTCCCCCTTCTCCTCTTTCTCCTCCTTTCTTCCTCATCCTCCCCTTCCTCTTTTCCTCCTCCTTCTCCTCTTCTCCTCCTCCTCCTCTCCTTCTCCTCTCTTCTCTTCCCCTCTCTCCCCCCTTCTTCTTCCTCCTCCCTTCCTTCTCGTCTCCTCTCCTCCTCCTCCTTTCCTCCTCTTTCTCCTTTTTTTCTTCCTCATCCTCATTCAGTCTTCCTCCTCCTCTCCTCCTCCTCTTCTTTCTCTTCTCCCTCTTCCTCCCCTTCTTCTTTCTCCTCTTCCTTCTTCCTTCTTTCTCCTCCTTCTCCCTTCTCCTCTTTCTTCCTTTTTTTCTCCCCATCCTCATTCAGTCTTCTCCTCTTCTTCTCTCCTCCTCTCCTCCTCCTCTTTTCTCTTCCCTCCTCTTCCTCCCCTTCTCCTTCAACTGAATCCCCCATCTTGTCTCCCCTCCTCCTCTCCCCCTTCTCTTTTTCTCCCTCCTTTTCTTCCTCATCCCCATTCCTCTTCCTCCTCTTCCTCCTCCTCTCTCTTCTTCTACTTCTTCCTTTCCCTTTTCTTCTCTTCCCCTCCTCTCTTCCCTTCTTCTTCCTTCCCTCTTCCTTCTCTTCCTTCCCTCCTCCTTCTCCCCTTCCTCCTCTTTCTCCTCCTTTCTTCCTCATCCTCCTCCCCTTTTCCTCTCCTCCTTCTCTTCTTCTTCCTCCTCTCCTTTTCTCTTCTTTCTCTTCCCTCCTCTTCCCCCCTTCTTCTTCCATTCCCCTCTTCCTTCTCGTTGTCCTCGCCTCCTTCCTATTGCTCCTCTTACTTCTCCTTTTCTTCCTCATCCCCATCCCCTCTTCTCCTCTTCTTCCTCTTCCCCCTCTCCCCCTTCCTCCTTTGCTTCCCCATCCCCATTCCCTCTTCCTCCTCCTTTTCTTCCTCTTCTTCGTCCTCCCAATTCCCCCTCCTCTTCTTCCTCTTCTTCTCCCCTCTCCCTTCTCTTCCTCCTCCCCCACTCTCCCTTCCCTCCCTCTGTACTGCCCCAACCCATGAGGGTGGGGGCCTTCAATAAGTGGATCTGGGAGGTCTTCTCCATCAAGTCCCCTTCTTCCTGTCCTAGGTGCCAACAGCAGAGGAAGGAACTAAGACAGCAGAAGGCAACTGCATTAAAGGATAGGTGACTCTCCATAGGTGACTCTCCTGCCTTCAAAGCCTTCTCCATAATGTGGTGGCATCCCATTCCT